CCTCTAACATGCAGGGGAAACCTGATGTCACAAGCAAGGCCAATGGTACACCAGCCATGCCTAAAATGGGCATCAGGGCCAGGGCGACAGAATGGCCAGCGAGAAAAGATGGCTGGGATGGAAGACCTTCACCCAACTATCAGAGCGTAATACCAGTGTTTCAGAATGGCCAACAGGAGCATACTGTGGACTTACTGGAGGAAGCTGAACCAGTCTGTTTGGAAGTGGACTATTCAGAAAAATACACACTCAGTGACCTTCTGTGTCACTCTCCACAGAAGGGTCTTCACCCTATTCGCCAACGTAGCAACAGTGATGTTACTATAAGTGACATTGACTCTGAAGACGTCATGGATCAGAATGCCGTCAACCCAAATACTGGGGCCTCACTGCACCGTGAGTATGGTAGCACATCTTCAATTGACCGCCAGGGTCTTAGTGGAGAAGGCTTCTTAACCATGCTTAAAGGTTATCGAGTGGAAACCCTAGACCATCGCAACATACCCCCCATGAGCTTTCCAGAGTTGCTGCGCTGTGATGCCTCACTTTCACCTAGCCTGCAAACAGCAGCGCAGATTGCTCGGGGTGAGATAATCCACATTCCAGGATATGACTACATTGACACTTCTTTTCTCTACAATAGAGAAAGGGAGAAATCTTTTATGAGGCGCCTGAAATCCGAATCATCAGAAACATCTCTGTTCAGGAAGCTGCGGACCATTAAGAGCGAGAGTGATGCTTTGCGACTCTCAATCGAGGATGATCGACGGCCACTTAGCTTCCAAAAATGCTTTTCTCACTATGATGTTCAGAGTGTCCTTTTTAACATAAGTGAAGCAGTGGCAAATCGGGCAAACCTAAGTCAGAGAAAGAACACGACTACAGGAGCTTCAGCTGCCTCAGCTGGAGCCCTTACTGGAGCCCTCACTGGAGGTGCAGGTGGAGCTGGTTTGGGACCTATACCAGGGACAGATGGTGGAGCAGCAGGGTGTAACAGTGGGAATGGCCCACTGTTTGAATCCCCTCTTGGCAGCAGAGAAGATTTAAACCCTAAAGAGAACCTGGATGTTGATGAGGGGGATGGAAAGAGTAACAACATGGTGCTAGGCTGTCCACACTTTCGTAATGAGATTGGTGGTGAAGGCGAGAGAAAGATCTCACTCTCCAGGGAAAACAGTGCCAACTACAGTAGTATGTCCGAAAGCTGCTCTTTCGAATCATCATTAAGTTCCCATTGCACTAATGCAGGAGTTTCTGTACTGGAGGTACCTAGAGAAAATCAGCCGATCCACCGGGAGAAGGTCAAACGCTACATTATTGAACACATTGACCTGGGAGCATACTACTACCACAAGTTTTTTTACGGAAAAGGTAAGCCTTTCTTATCTTGAAAGTTTTATATTTGTATTCCTGATACAGGGATAATATAAGGTATTGGGTGACTCACCACAGAGTATTATTAGACTTTCCAGGCCAAGTCTATTTCCTTGAAAACAGACAAGGACAATGCCGAGTGAGAGCATGTTCCCAAATGGACCAGCCTGCTCACATAGGGTCAGATATCTTGACAGACCAGTTATTTTTGTAGGAACAGATGAAATAGGGTCCAGAACAATAGCAGGCTTGTGTTTGGTGCAGGGGTGTGTGTTTCACTTCCTTGGGAGTGGAATGGTCGTGTCCTCCCGGTGATATTACCCTGAACCCTGCGGAGAAGCTGCGATTAGTCATGTGAGAAGTGAGAGGTGAGAGAGAGGGTGTTCTGCAGCTGTTCTCCGTCAGGGCTCCAGGGGTGTGAAGAACCCTCATGTGAAACTTAGGGGTCAGAAAATCTCCACCAAGGTCCTGACACCCTGTTAAAACACATAAGTAACTGACAGTGGAAATAAATACCAAGGCCACATTTAACTCATCGCCACAATATACAATGGTTTTTTTTTCCTCACTGTCTGAGCATCTGTGTTAGCTGCTCTTAAAAGATTGAATTACTTCTTCATCAGCCACATTAGAAAGCAGCTGCTGCACCTTTCACACTCACCCGTGCATCTATTTGAAAGAATCCACTTTGCAACTGTGATTCCTTACTCTTGGTTCATTCAGGGTCAAAGAGACCATTAAGGACCTGCTCCACTTACATTTTATTTGAATGCACCGCTGAGGTTACACTGAAATATTGTGATTGTTTCCTACAGTGGCTTAGGTGTACTATCTAATTAATCTTTCTTCTGTGTCAGTGCTGGCCAATGCATAATTTAAATGTCTCTTGTTACTGTCAGTTTAGCTTTGATGTAATAGTTTCTCACAGTGAATCTAGCCCCTGCCCTTTCTAATGGGGAGTTTTATTGAAGTGACAAGTATGTCGTCACCTCAACTTCACAACTAACATGGGCACATGCTCAAGCACAAACATGACAGCGTGTCATCACTTCTACACAAACACGGCCTAGTCTGAAAATGAATCTTATTGATTGCCTAAAATCCTTCTTTCTCCACTGAGAAAGGTCAGTAAACTATTCACATCCATGGGGTGAACAGTCTCACGTGCAGGTAATGGTCACAACCTGTAGCTGGATAAACCTTGAGCAGGGCTGTCCACACTTTGTTGGCTCAGGAGCTACGTTTCAACTGACCAGACCAAAGTGATCTACCAACATTAATAATATTTAATATATTTTTATCCATATGAGCTGAATACACTTTATATATACATTATATGTTGATTAAATATCTGTAGCTGTATGACACATTATTATTCAGTTATTGTATTGTTGCTAATCTAGTTCTTGAGAATGAATATAAAAAAAATCTTTATTTTTATTTTAATTGCTCATGAACTACAGGTAAAAAAATCTTTATTTTAATTGCTCATGAACTACAGGTACTGGCTTTTCTTTTCTTTTTTTTAAATGTAGCCAAACAGTTAGTTTTTGAATGCACATCAGGAGATTATTCCATTTCTTTTTTATATGGGTCAAATAAGGTCATTGTCAGCCTTTTCGTTACTTTCCCTTTGTCATTGCAAGTGTCTGTGTTGTGTTAAAATGCAGCAAGGGAAGTCCTTTCTGTCCACCTTCTGTCACTAGTTTATTATTGTGATGCCCAGTCTTCTACTATTCAACCATCCAACCACCATTTAACCTTATGCCTCACAGAGCATTCCCCTCAGCCCACTGTTCCTGACAAGCCATACATTCCTCAGATGGTTAACCCTGCTTTGCCTCCACACAGTTAATTTATTATTCATGCTGATATGTGCTTTGCCCCAGCATTGATGTCACAGTGACAAGAACTAGTGTATTTACAATGCATGCCCTACATGGCAAAGGTGCAGTCTCTTAACTTGTAGGAAATTCTCTTGGTGAATGTCAGTGCAGTGTCTCTGCTCAGGCTTTCTTTTGTCTGCTGAGTCCAGGTCTTTCCCTCTGTCTTCAGCCTGGATTAGCAAGTGTTTACCCAAGACACCGCTGTGTGTGTGCATAGCTCTACTCCTGTTCATACCTTATACATGTGCACACACACACACACGCTTACGCATGCCAAACAAACTTAGAGGTCTTGCACCAGAAGACAATACTTGACAATGGCAAGTAACATCAATAGCTTTGCTCTTCTTCGAAAAAAAAAGTTTTATCAGACTAGGATTTTAATGTCAGCCTTCCCATGAGGACATGCTAATTTGACTGCAAAAATTAACACATTGACCTAAAGGTGACCAAAAGTGAAAATTTCATCAAGTGTCCACTAATGAAAAAAATATTCATCGTCCATTGGGCATAAAGGTTGCAGGGAAAATTAATGAGAACCTGCCAAGAACAGACTGTTCTTTTATGTTCAAGTTAAGGTTTATCCAGTGAGTCTTTGATCATATAAATTCATTAAAGACATTCCTAGAAAGCCATTTAAAATAGCAGTCAGTGGGTCAAATCAAAGAGATAAAGGGGAAAATAGTAAGACCATTGGGAAATAGTTATTTAAGTTATAAGGTAACTGACAGAAAGTTATTCCTAAAATCCTGCTCTTCATTACCCTGTTACCTAAAACTACTTTCCAAGCTTCCTCTTATTTGACACAACATTCTGATTGTACATGGTGCAATTTCAGAAGCTTCTACTTTTTGTGTGCAAAAGAAGTCTTGTATTTATCTCCACTTTTCAACTCTGGTGCTGAATAATAATAATAATAATAAATACCAGGAAATAGCCATTTCCTTTGAATTGACTCAAGATTGTAAATTAATATTCTGTTCAAATTCATACAGCTAGGTTCCTGAGTTCTGTAATCTAAATGGCAACACTGATAGGGGAACTGAACGTGTGCTTCATCACAACCTTACTTGTTTCAATCCCCAGAGCATCAAAACTATTTTGGTGTGGATGACCATCTGGGACCTGTGGCAGTTAGTATCCGTAGGGAGAGGTTGGACGATGGAAAGGAGAAAGATGGAATGCAGTTCAATTACAGGGTCACCTTCAGAACCAGCCAGGTAACTATAATATTCTAATGTGCACTTTTGTGTTATGTCTTTTTCAGATCAAAGTACTGTATTATTAAGTTATTGTATTGTGAATGCATGGAAGGATAAACCTGCGTGACTTCCGTCACAAACATGTTTTCAGCAAGAACTTGCTTTTATTTCTTGTATGTGGCATTCGGGAAGGCATGTTAAGGTCACTGACCTCAGAGCTTAGTCAAGCAGGGCAGAATACGGCAATGCTCCAGTGGTCCTACAGTCCTCTCACAGTTAGTCTTATTCCACCATTTTAGCCCTAAATCTCTAGTTTGTCCACTGTTTCTGTGAGAGTTGTATATTTTGCTGACCAGTCACGCAAGCTTCTCTTTCTCATTCTGCCATGTTGATGCTCATGCGTGTGTGTGTGCAGCCCTCTTACCTTTGTGATGAAGCCAAAAACAAAGCGAAGTGTCATGGTCCCTAGTGGTGCAGAAAGTTTTTCTTGATCGATACTTGGGGGGTCTCATCCACTGAATAATTTAGGTGCAACAGATGCATGAGGAACTGTTACAGATATCTGATGCCATTTATGGTGTGAAGCACCACTCCCACAGTAAAACAATGTATCTGGGTCATTGAAGCCCTGCAAGACACACACACACAGACTCGCACATTTTACTCCCCAACCACTGGGGCATCCATTTGCATGTGCTGCTGTCATTTAGCCCCAGAACTGCTTGCCTCACTGCCCAAATCACAAGCAAACTGCCTTTACTGAGCCTATCAGTCAGACGATCCTTGACTGCCAATGGTTCGGCCCCAGGATGTACAGTTAGTAATGGGATTTATAGATAAAAATATCCTTGTGCTGTTTCAAACAAACAACACATTAAAAATTGTGGGCAATCTGATAGTTTTGGGGATCAACATTTACTGAAACGTTAACTGTCTTACTTACAGTAAAATACCACTTAACAACTTGTGTCCATTTAACCTCCCTTAATTATTTAGAATGCAGGCCTTAATGCCTGCCAGTGGAGCTGTAATGGAGCCACTGCTCCAAATAATGAGGCACAACATAAAAATTATTCATTTAGAATCATTTAGAATCTGATATATCCTGTGTGACTTAATTATGGCTTCATAGAACGTCACAGTTGGAACAACATACTGTACGAGGTTGAACCGGTACCTTATAAAACACATAACAGGTAGACAGTCCAGTGTACGAGATGAACGTTCTCTCTCCTGCCAGCTGACCACACTTCGTGGAGCCATCTTGGAAGATGCCATTCCATCAACAGCGAGGCACGGGACAGCGCGTGGCCTGCCCCTCAAAGAAGTGCTAGAGTATGTCATTCCTGAACTTAATATCCAGTGTCTGAGGTTGGCTCTCAACTCCCCCAAGGTCCCAGAACAGCTGCTGAAGCTGGACGAGCAGGGGGTAAGTAAACCAAAAGAACGTCCATTTTACCATATCATCTTTTGTACATGTGCACAATTAACTTGGATAAAAATTATGCCACAGAAAACCAACAGTATCACCCAGGCAAAGGAAGACTTCCTTGTAGATACACAAACCACCATAAACTGCTAAACAAGTTTACTTCTATAAAATCTATTTTTTAAGAAGTCCATTCATCCCTTGATTTTTAGGAAATTTAATGCTAGTCACAGCACTATAAACATCTATCCAGGTGTTTCAGCTTAAGACTCTCACTGAGAATATCATGATGAATGTTGTATTGGCCCTGAGGAACCACGGGTTGCATTAACATTAGAGTATAGATTTTTATGTCAGGTTTATTAGTCTGTGTGCTGATCCACAGAACAAACCAAGGGAGGGATTAATATCAAATAGCAGGAACCTTTGTCGCTTAGGTGTGTCATTTATTATAAATGAGCACAGGTGGAGGTGTAAGAGAGCCAATATCACACTTAAAAGAATCAATACCAATACCACACTGTCTGTAGATTGCATTGACTACTCTGACACACGTTCTATATTAGAAGGACAATCAGCCACATGCTAACTCAATTCTGAAGGCTTAATTTATTTGCACGTGGGTGATTTAGTATTCTACTGTGATAGCAGATGATGTCATAGAGCATTGTCTCTCTTTGAAGGCAGTGTCTGGTATTCATATGAGCTCTATATATTCACAGATGTCAGGGGTTAATTCATTGTGTAATCCTTATATTTTGATAAAACAAAGAACAGAGCATAGAAATGTTCTTTTAGGTTAGTGTTGTTTTGCTGGTGTTTTAATCAGGCATTTGCTGGACTTTTTTGTCATCATTTTGTTAGCATGACTTTATCCTTCCATTTAGTTAAATATAATTTAAAAAAAAACTTTTTTCCAACAAACCAAGTAAAACAAGTGAAGAAGAAACACAGTGTGCTTGTACCTTGTATGCATAGTGATCTGGTCGGATGCCATTCCTGACCCAACCCAACTTTGGATTAGCGGACCGGGTGGCAGTCAGGTGTTTTACTACTGCACCATTCTAGATGTGAAACGTAAGCTTAGTGTCTGGTTAAAGTTTTTATGACTAACAAGGACATTGAAAAACTAAAATACTTTACTGTGTGTTTCCTTGTATCCCACCCTGCTGCTGTCTTACACAAGGATGTGTTCTGCTAAATGTTAATCACGTCAATTTTATTTTCCTTAAAATGCTCTTGTGACCTTTGACTGTGTAAATGTGTTTTACATGGCCCTCGTCTTGTGAACAGAAACTGCCTCAGATGAGTTAGAGTATCCCGAAGCAAAGACCCAATATCTTCATGATCAGCTCTGTGAAAAGAATAACACAGGGAGTTGTGGTGTAAACTCTCCTGTGATGGTCCTGGATGTAAGAGGAGAAGTGAAAATATGTGAAAGTAGTTAAGATCACTGTCGACACTGTAGTGAACTGACAGTGTGCAGATGCCCTGGAAAGAACATTAGACTCTCAGGGATTTGGGGAAGTGATTTTAGGTGATAGAATTCACAGACAAGCCACCAATGTAAAATGTGTCTCTGTTGTTTCCATCTTAAAGCCTGCACCTGGAAAATGAGAGTTTAGCTGGATCACAGTTTATCAGTTACACCGAAGTAGAAGATTTAAAAATCCATTAGCCCTAGAATTTTCCAAGTAGGCGGCTCAACTAACATGAGTTTTCTAAAACATGAAATTAACTTGAGCCCTATAAACACCCGACAATAAAGAAGAATTCAATAGATTTTAATTATAAATATTATCATGACTGATACTGCTTTCTAAATTTTGCTGTGTTAAAGTATTTATTAGTCAACAAGTCTTTCGATTTTTTAATTGCCCTTTACATTCTCAAAAAATTTCAAAACTTCTTGTCTTGCAGTATTTTGCCAACACTTCATGTATCTTTTGAATGTACACAGTGCAGGATTAAAAGTCATCTAGTGGTAAAGTTACATGTCTTTTGGCTTTAGGTCAATGGGAAACACACTTCACTGCCAAATTGCCCATTACACCCCAGCCACTTAGTGCTGAGTGAGTCTGGATAATTGGAGACGATTGTTTCAACAAAGCCATAAAACCCAAAAGGTATTCAGTTTGTCTCCTGGGGCTAATGTGCAAACATGGTTGTCCAACATGGCCGTCGCAAGGGAGATACCCCCACGCTTGATATGCATTTAAAAAGGGTTTCATTTTGAGGTCAGTGAAATCATTTTACAACCAGTAAAATTTTTGTGTTGAATAATTAATTATCAACGGATTTAGCCTTTATCTGACAGGGTTTACATTTACTCAGAAAAAATTAACTGGGCAGAAAAACCTTTGTGTATTTAAATAGAGACAAGCAGCCAACTGCTAGCAACTACTGGTAGGTTATTTGGCACTGTAATAAGTCCAGGGTTTTCAAACGGGTACAGAATTATTATGGCTGCTTTTACTATTTTAGAAGCTGGTGCCACATCAAACGTGGTCACAGACTGAGCTCGGCTTCACTTGTGTTTTTATGTCAGGTGACTTGATGTGCTTGCACTTAAAAGACAGCGACAAACTCTCACCTAAGGACATCGGAATTGTCCTTGCCGTCAGCTAGTCATTCAGAAGGAGCAGGAGGTTAAGTGAGCTCATATAACGCAGGATTAAAAAGAAAGGACCACATTGCCACACATCATACCATTTCCACTGGGCTTGATGGTATAATGACTTTTCGTCACCGCAGGAGCTTTAGTGCAGAGCAGAGACAGCCTGAGAGGGGACGTCTCCATGACGACCATGTCACAAGCACCAGGGGAACCGATAACCTGTAGCGGAGAAAAAGGACAATTCAGATTTGTTTCTGAACACACACCATTCATTTACTTTCATAGTGAGAGACACCTCTTATTGTCAATTTGACACATTGACTCTGGGTCAGGAGGTTGGTGTGACCCTTAGCTTTGAAAACACAGCAACAGGTACCAAAGACAGCAGTTTCTCTTTATCCACTGCTTCTCTTTTCACGGCCTATTTCCTTTGCCAATGTCAGCAAGGCGTGAGAAATAAACAAGATAAATAAGAAACTGATGTTTTGTTTTGACTGTGAAAGGATATTCTCCCCGGGTGTTCCTCATTTCTTTCTTTCTCTCTGTGTGATATGGTCATATCAGAACTGTCATCCCTGACTATTATGGATGCTGGCAATGAAACCAGTGGTATTTGGATGTCTGTGAAGACTCTTCTTTGTGAAAAAAGACATTTGTCTGTAATAAGGAGCTCTTTGTTGACTTAAACAAGCCTGTTAATTGTATTGGTGGAAACTTGTAGGAGTTCCTGTGAACATTCTGGAACAATCATTTGTTTTACATGAAAACCTTGTTTGTTTTGTACATCTGACTTACACCAGATCAATTCTAATAGATATAAATACAAAATTAGGCCACCTATCAAAGTAAAGTTGGATGGATTTCTGGGGGCAAACTCCAATAACTATAGTAATCTGATTAATTTGAGTAAAGAGTGATCTTTCTACAGAGATATTTGAATTGTTTTCACTGGACTATAGATGTGGAAACAAAAACTGCTCTGGTAACTGAGCCTCACCAATGTGAATTCCAGCCTTTTCCTAAGAGGAAAATAAATGCCTTTATATGATCTGTGACGTGATGAGAAGTAGGGCCCTCGCATGCTTAAAGTGCATAATATATAATGTAGTATCTGTAGGTGTGGCATGTGATGTACTCCAACAGCAGAAAACGATACACACTAACCACAGGCCTCTGTATGTTTCTCATGTCAGCTGAGCTTCCAGCACAAAGTGGGGGTGCTTTACTGCAAGGCGGGTCAGAGCACCGAGGAGGAGATGTACAACAATGAGAGTGGCGGACCAGCCCTGGAAGAGTTCTTAGACCTGCTCGGCCAGAGAGTGCGACTCAAAGGCTTCACCAAGTACAGAGCTCAGCTGGATAACAAGAGTGAGATAACACATGGATCACACCCAAACTAAACATTCAGAAAGTGCAAGCGCACGCACTTTCAGTCCTGCTGAGTGCAGATGCTCTGCTTTGTTTCATATTGCTTTTGGCAGCTGTAATATTGCTTCAGACCTACATATCATTCTCTCGCTAACTGTTTTATTAAAGTGTCCATTTTTCTATGCAGCAGTTAGCAGAATTATGTTCAGAGACAATGACTGCTCTGTCCTGTTCCACAGCCGACTCCACAGGCACACACTCGCTCTACACCACTTACAAGGACTACGAACTGATGTTCCACGTGTCCACAATGCTCCCGTACACACCCAACAATCGACAGCAGGTCAGTAAACTAATTTATTTTCCCACAGAGCTCCTCTGAATGAAGAGCTGATATCTAACTGTGGTAATAAGTCTCTTCGTGGCTCTCTTTTATGATATTTCCATTCCTGGCTCCTGCCAATCTTCCCCCGGGGCTCATTTTGCCACATTAATGACCTATCAGTGGAGAGCACCAGCATTGCTATGGTAACAGAACCCCATGGTACAATTTTAATCAATGCCTCCCCAGGGACAGCCTTGATAGGGTATTAGATTGGCCACTAAGTCTGTCTGCACTAACAAGTAGAATTAAGTGAATGTAATGGTAAAATGCCATGAATGTCCTGATAAGGATGTCATTACTGAAGTTCACTTCAGTCTCTGCACTGTTTATGTGAAGGGCCTTTTTCAGTGTACATCAACACAATCTAGTTTTTACAATATATCCATAGGATTTAATATATGTTATTTGTTTGTGTTTTAGGTCTATGTTGTCAGATGAGCATGAAAAGAATGTTCTGTCAATAATGTTGGAAACCAGTTCAAATCAAAATATCAATTGATCACATTGATCAAGTCTATTCTGCAACGAAATGCAGAAGGTGGCATCATAGTATAGAATAATATAGTTCTACTGTTCGATTCCCATGTGTTTTACTATTTTATAAGGAATGAAATCAAAATATATTATGAGATTTCTAAACCATATTTCCCAGCCTTGAATAAAACCAATGCTACAACCCTGCAGCAGCAAAACTAGAGAGTGATGTACAAAAGGAAGTGGTCAGTGGCTCTGTGTGGAAACCTAATCTCTGCACTTTGTGTCGGAATCTCTGAAACCGAATGCTTCTTAAGCATTTTGTTTCTTCTTTCAATTGTACTTCATGAAGAGGGATAGTTTATTTTAATCCCTTGTCTAATCTTGCAGCATGTCTAAACAGAGCCAGCCCCACTCATCCCTTCATTCTTCACAACTCACCTTTGTACCCTCTAATCCTGGTCCTTCTGCATTAATGCTGAGCCTCAAAGACAACTTGGTACTGGTCAGTGAATGAGGTCAGGGGTCTGCTCAGCCCAACAATACCAACAATACCAACAGACGTAATTGGGTTTGGAAGAAATTGTCTCTTTTCAGAATCCTAAATTGAGAGAGATAAATTCTTTTAATGCCCTAAAATCCCATTTTGCCTGATATTGTACACCTTTAAAACCCCAACCTAAGACATCATTCTGAAATCCTTTTTTGTTTAGTTAGTTTGATCATACATTAAAAGTCTAGTGTTGTATTTTTGGAATAGTTTACAGTCTTTATAAAGGCTATAGTATTTAGTAACACATTCAACGTAACATATATTAAACCGTGTTCATAAACATTATACTCCTGCCTATAAAACTAGAATTCTGAATTTCTGTTAAACAAAAACATACAGTAGGAGCTAAAGTAGATCTATTGTGGATAAAGAAAGGTCTTTTCTGATTAATTGTTTTTTTGGAAGACCTTAACAATTTTACACAATTGTGTTACTTGAAATATACCATTTCCTCATACATGTATTGTTGTTTCTCCTTCTTTTTCATAGTTACTAAGGAAGAGGCACATTGGCAACGATATCGTCACCATAGTATTTCAGGAGCCGGGGGCCCTTCCTTTCACCCCAAAAAACATCCGCTCCCATTTCCAACATGTGTTTGTTATCGTCAAGGTCCACAACCCCTGCACTGAAAATGTCTGCTACAGGTAAATGGAATAAGCGTAAACTGTGCCTTTAAGGCTTTTTCAAATCTATTTAACTTGGGCTGGAAAAAAAACTCCCACAGCATTTGGATTTGTGACATTAACTGCCAAGTACAAGTGCATTTCACTGTGGGATGAAAGTCACACTAATGTCCTCAAGACAATTCAGGGAAATGTGTGTATCTTTTGATGTGCTCTGCATGAATGTGCCGATGCAAAATGTGTCTCTACGTGAACTTTTAAGAGTACTTAATATGAAAGAATAATAATAATACCCCGCTGAGTGTTCTCAGTGTTTTTTTGTAGTGTGACTTTATAGTTCTGTGCCGGCGTCTCAGAGCACTTCTGATCTGTCAGTGATGATACAGTCATTATCTTCAGAGACACCTTGAAATTATGTCTTACGACTCTCAACTGGAGGATTCCAAAGTCACAGTGTTAATAACATGGAATTAGCTTAACAGAGGAAGATTAATTTGTGCTAGGCTCTATGTTTCCACTGCAATTTTAACACTTCAGTAGCTTTTCATTTACATACAGTTATTTTAATCCTCTTTCTTCTCTTAAATGTAATTTAATTTAATAATTAAACTCTTTTTACAGTGTTGCAGTTTCCAGATCTAAAGATGTCCCTCCATTTGGGCCCCCGATCCCCAAATCTGTAACTTTCCCAAAGTCAGCCGTTTTCAGGGACTTCCTGTTGGCTAAGGTCATCAACGGAGAAAACGCTTCACATAAGTCAGAGAAATTTCGAGCGATGGCCACTCGTACGCGGCAGGAATACCTGAAGGACCTGGCAGAGAACTTTGTCAGCACAACAGCTATCGACTCAGCTGTTAAATTCAGCTTCATTAACCTCGGCGGCAAGAAGAAGGAGAAGGTGAAACCGAGGAAGGACGCCCATCTGTTCAGTGTGGGCGCCATCACCTGGAGTGTCTGTGCAAGAGACTTTGGCCAGTCCATGGATGTGGACTGCTTACTTGGCATATCTAACGAGTTCATTGTACTCATTGAAGAGGAATCAAAAAATGTTGTCTTCAACTGTTCGTGTCGGGATGTGATTGGTTGGACTTCAGGGATTATGAGCATTAAGATCTTCTACGAGCGCGGGGAATGTGTTATGCTGTCAGCCCACGACAACTGTGGAGAAGACATCAGGGAGATGGTGCAAAGACTGGAGGTAAGAAAACTGGAGACAAACCTGACTAGATGACGATCCTTATTTCTTACTAGCATCTGCATCATTTGTGTCAACGCACAATACTTCCAGCAAAACATCGTAAGAACAGATAATCAGCTTTAAAACAATACATCTCTATCACTGAGTGTGATTCACTATGCATTTGCCTGGCTCTTTGTGTGGTTAATTGAGGGTTTCTTTTCAGTTTGACACCCAGTTGATTTCAGATGTATCAAGCATATTACGGTAAAACAATTACACTGTCAATCTGGGATGTGTCAGAAAGGATCCTAACAAATTAGCCAAGCTGCTCAACAGAGTGGCACTAATACACAAACACACGGGAAAACAGGAAAATAATTTGAAGCGGCACCCACGGAGTGTTTAGGGAAGTAGAAATGTTAAAACAATGACTGCTTTAAAATGAAAACTACTGACCTGCTGAGTCTGTGTCCCTCTAAACAAAATATTGACAACAGCATGACCTTTTTAGGTAGCTGTCAATTCAACTAATAGTCCGGTGTACAAAAAAATACTTTGGTATTAATCAGCTAATGGTCAGAAGAAGCAGCCGCAGAGTAAAATTTAACACTCATAGCAGAATGGGACAAAAGTGGTGTTAGGTAAATATATAGTCCACTCCTGAGAACCATGGAAATGATCCTTTTCTGGCCCACTTTTTGTCAGGACCAGTAGTGGTTTTAAAGTTATCTAATGCATTACTCTGTATGTGTTTCCTATGTTGAGTGTCAACATGAAATTGTCTATTATAAATCTACTGTCCAGCAAATCAATTCAAATCAGTGATACTGAATTAGCATTTTGTTTTGCTTCTTCTTCGTTGATTCCAACATGGCTGTTTGTCATTTCTGTGGCCAAACAACGTTTGCAGGTATTCCCCTTACCATTTCAGCTGTACCAGGCAGCATAGACCTAATTTTATTTTATTTTTATCATTAAGTCAGCAGAACATTTGCTTCCTCAACTAAATCCCCATGTGTCAAATCCCACGCGCGCCCGTTCTTCTTTACCTTCTGCTATTTTAGTTTTCTGTCCTGTTTCTTTCACAGGGATTTTCCGTATGGTTAAGACTTACAGAAAGAAAAAAAAACCCTGAAGCTCACTTCATGTCCTGACTTCATGCTCTTCTTCACATGACTCTGTCTGAGTGCAGTGTCATTAGAATGTGAAAGTGTAAATTGAAACAGACAATGTCCAGAGGGGATTATAGACCCCCTGCTGTTAGCTTTATTTGGCTCATCAGTGGGTAGAGGTGCACAGACAACTGTTGAGGACACAGAAATGATGCAGTAGATTCTGCTCTGCTCTTTATCAGGATCAACTATTAAAAACCAGAGCTGTTTTATGTGGCAAGATCCAATAACATAAAGTTGAAGATGGGAAGTGATGTAGCTTTGGCCAATTCTTGTATTATATGGATTCAGGTGAAGGCTGGGGCAGCTTAAACAGGACACTAACCCAGTTTAAAAGGGGAGGAGAAGAAAAACAGACCTTTATTTAGGTCTGATAGAGTTAGAAAAGAGAACACTTGGCCTGAAAATGACCAAACTCCCTTTCAGAACTTTTCCCAAGTCCTCTTTTCTTATTTCTGTATGTCTGCTCTGACCATCTGTACAACTGCAGAGTTCTTTGATTCTCAGTGTTGGGTGTGATTTGATATCTTCTAAGAAAAAAACAACAACATCTGGTTGCTCGGTTTAAATGCTATCATCAAAAGCCCATGTTTCCACTCATTGTAATGTTTTTCTGTGTGATTAGATGAAGTCTTTACATTTTTTCATCATTCCTTTTTTAATCTGGCAACCCCTTTTGTTTTCGAAAAAGGATATTAAGGCTGAATCCCAAAATCCAAACCTGAGCTGTGCATGACCTTATTTTTCCCAGCCTGCTTGCTCACTCAGGCACTCAACTCCCACAGTCCCATTTTGGCAGCTACATTAACATTCTCAAATGTTTCACCAAAAGCAAGTCAGGAAATTAGAGCAAAAGCCAAAGGCATAAAAGTACCAATTTATTCTTCACTAAAACCCCATTTTTTTTCTTTGCTTTGAAGTTTTTATGCTAGTAATGTAAGAAACCACAAGATTTGGAAGACGCACGTCAGATAATTGATCCTCAAAAGAAACAAATGTCATTCACTTTTTTCTCCACTCATCACAAGAAGAAAGCCGTGAAAAAGGCAGGATATATTAGCGTCGGTGATTAGCCATCATTTCCTCATTCACCATGCTAACCTCCTCCTACATTTACCATCCAGCTACCCATGGGATTTTTGAGGCATATTTATTTTACAGGAAGCTCAAACTAAGCAGAAGTTGTTCGCTGTTCACACTGTGAAGAACCAGCCACAGCGGTGATATTTTGGTATGAGCTGATCGTGCATTCTTTGTCCCAGGGGAGTAAATGTTATCTTAATGTCCCTGAGGTTGGCTTGAATCATGTTTCATTGCTCGGATTTACAGCCTTCTTCACCTGTGATGTCATGTGAACCACAGTGAAATGATAGCCCACTGTAACAGAGAGGCCTTGTGCTAGCTGAAAGCTAAGCTTTGACATAATTTTCTGCATTAGTAAGCTGGACGGACATCGCCCGACATAATGGCCGAACATCACTCATGCGATATTCAGCCAACACAGAACTGAGGTCACAAACAAAATCAGCATGTTTATTGTCACGCTGTTTGATTTTTTGAGTGTGCCCAGAGCCTGTACATTTGCATGTGTTGCATGGTTGTAGCTTCTTATGAGATCCAGAAATGCAAGTAATGTCTGGTTTAAATTTCATATATTTATGATATACATCAGATCCTACAGCCGAAACATGTGGCCTAAAATCACAAAACTATCTGATCCAATCTAAAAGATCCTCTGTTCTGGTTTTTTATTTTCAGATATTGTTGTTAATGATTTACTGGAACTACAGTCAAGGTGCCACTTTAGAATCTTTTTTATTAAGTTTCGCTACACCTATGCTACATGCCTGTGATGTCGACTCATGAAAAGACAACACAGTGTTTTCACCATGGTTAAAACAAAACAGATACATTTGCTTTCAATATCGTTGTAAAATGAATATGACACAAAATTCAAGTTAACTATTGTCATGATTATTTCTGACTGCAAAAACCTTCTCAATAATGCTTGTTGTACTACTTCACATGTCATTTTGAAGCTGTTTGTTGTTTAAGGGCAGTGTTCAAGTTTTATGTCTCTGTTTATTAGAGCCCATAAATAAGTTCTGTGAGAAAACACTTT